CCCCCCCCTGGCTACGGGCCTGGGGGGGGGGGGTCCAAAAATCGTTCACTAGGACAGACCCTAACCTCCCTAAGCACAGTTAACCATTTTTTTGCACAATGAGCGGGCTTTGAAAATTTAAATTGAACCATTTTAACTCCATAGGCCTTTATTTAGTCTTGAGTTAGATACAGAATTAACCCCCTCCACCACCATAGCTATTTTATAAATTAGTACAAATTAGTAGTATGTTTGTTAAATAATCAAAAATTTCCTTTTTTAATGTATTGCATACTGCGTACCTCATTTAAAATTTTAAAAAATTTCTATGAAGAAATTACTGTAAAAAATAAACCGGAAAATAAACGTTATTAAATTACTAGAATCCCCCAATAGAAAATATAATCTACAGTATATAATTAACTGTATAATAAAGCAGGTATAATATGTGTGTAACCTGATATATCAACAAATAAACCTCACGTAAGCAGTGTTTCTGTTTACTGCCTGAAGGGTAAATATAAACTGATCAGCTGATAGCTGATTACAGAGACATCTATATGGATTAAACCAACCAACAGCGTCCTCTATACTTAGAACCAACCAACCATTGACTGCTCTAGGAAAGGGAGAAAGGTCGGGTTCTAGCAGACAAGAGACAACTCTCCAATGATAGATAGATAATTAAACAATACAGAGTCTAGAGATTATAGAGATAAAAATTGAAATTAACAGGGTTACCCACAAAGGATGAACTTTGAAGACGACTGTACGGATTTTTACTATCCATTATTCTTACACATTATTCTTTATAGTTGTGGTTACTGACAGCTCTAATCCATGATCATGGTGGATCCATATATCTAACTCGAGGGGAGGAAGGCCAACCACATCAATCTCTAGTCCGAACCACATTCTCCTCATTTTCTCGTCCGAACCACCTCGAAATCCTCGTCCTTTCAATATTATTTTTTTTAAGTGTCTAATCCTTCCAGATAAAACTATTTTTAAAGAATCGGGCCACGTTAGGGCATAAATGAAATATCAAATTTTTGTAAATCGAAAAAAAAGTTTCAATTGAATTAAAGATTTGAAGTTTAATGTCTTTAAAAATGTTCACCTTTTTTACGCACATTTTCAGATATTCCTGGTGTGGAATGCCGCAAATAATTCCAAGTTTTACCTAAATAAAGTTAAACATCATTCTCATGGGTTTGAAGATTCCAACACAATATAATCATTGCAATACTTTATTCCATCCATATTTTATGCCCTAACGTGGCCAGATTTTTAAAAAATAGTTTTATCTTCAAGAATTGGAAACTTTTTAATACAAAATAATCGAAGGACGAGGATTCCGAGGTGGTTCGGACGAGAAAATGAGGAGAATGTGGTTCGGACTAGAGATTGATGTGGTTGGCCTTCCTCCCCTCATCTAACTGCCTTTAAACTATCATTTGAACTATTGATTGTTTGAACTATTGTTAATTCTAACTACTGATAATGACGTCATTTCCTGTAGTTTAAAAATTGCACATTATTTTATCTACTCATTTGAACTTTTAAATATACAGTCTAAAAGTTTTATATTTCATGGAAAAATATATATATAGATCAAAGGGGGACATTCGCCCCCCCCCTGAATTTTGAATTTTTTGTTCCTATTTTCAGAATAGCTTCTCAATAGCATGCTTAATTAAGGGAAAGAAACCCTAGTGCAAAACAGGAAAAATATCTGTCTTAATAAACTATAATGTGTGAAAAGTTAAAAACTAGTTTTTTAGTCTTTAGTCATTAAATTTGACTCTTTTTGAGTCTTTTAAGTCAAAAAAGGCGAAATTTTTTGTTCCTAATTATGAATTTTATTGTTCCTAACAAATCTTGCCCCCCCCCCCTCACTTAAATCCTGTATCCGCCCCTGACAAAAAAGTTACATGATCCAAATAATAAAATAATAAAAATAATTCAAATGACCAAAAAAGAATAGTTTAAATAAGCAAAAAAAATAGTTCAAATGAGCTAAATTATAGTTCAAATAAGCAAAAAACAGTTCAAATGGGAAAAAAAGATTTTCAAAAATAGCAAAAAGATAGTTCTAATGAGCAACTATTTTTTAGCAATCATTTGAATTATATTTTTCTTCATTTAAACTATTATTTTGTTCATTTGAATTTTGAACCATTATTTGTCTCATCTAAACTATTTTTGTCTTGTTTAAAATACATTTTTTGGCTCAATTAAACTATGTTTTTGCTCATTTGAACATTTTTTTTTGGTTCATTTGAACTATAATTGGGTCCGTCCTATTATACGATTTTTGTTCTTCTCTCTCCTCTAATTCCAAACCAAACCCTGAACCTTGTTCTCCTCTCTCCTCTAATTCCTAACCCTGAACCTAGAAAGTTTTCCAACGGTTTTTCTTCCAAGGACCTGGAACTCTATTCCATTGGAAATAAAATCTTCATAACAAGTTTTAAAACATGATTTAAAAAAAGCTTTTTTAAAGAATGCAGTAATTTTCATGGTATAAATCGAAATTGCTTTTCTTGCTAAATCTTGATTCTATCCCCTTTCCCCTGTTATTAAAACAAAACAAAAAACATACAATATTAAAAACTTTGTGTGCTGGGTTGTCCTCCCCCCCCCCCCCACTTCTTTTTTTCCTCTCTATTCTTCAATACCTTTCCTCTATCTACTCCACATTACGTTGCTTTCCTCAAGATCTGTTTTTGTTTCATTTAATTTTATTTTAATTTAACATGTATTTATGACTGCAAAAGGGCTTCTCATTAAAAACAACCAGCAATGGTTAGAGAGGTCCTGGCTAAATTAAAATGTAAAAATTGTGCACCTGTAATTTTTATTTATTAAAATATTTACTCAAATATATATATCTATCTATCTATCTAACCTGGTTCTCCCTTCTACCCCAACTCATAACCCTGAACCTGTTTCTCCTCTCTTCTTTAATTCCTAACCCTGAACATGGTTCTCCTCTCTCCTCTATAATTCCTATCTCTGAACCTGGTTCTTCTCTCTTCTCTAATCCCTAACCCTGCACCTAGTTCTCCTCTCTCCTCTAATTCCTAACCCTGAACCTGGTTCTCCTCTCTCCTCTAATCCCCAACCCTGAACCTGGTTCTCCTCTCTCCTCTGTCATTGTAAATTGATACTTCATAGGGACTGTCATTGTAAATTGATGCTTCAAGGGACTGTCATTGTAGATTGATACTTCAAAGGGACTGTCATTGTAAATTGATGCTTAGAGTGTAGAGTGTAGAGTGTAGAGTGTAGAGTGTAGAGTGTAGAGTGTAGAGTGTAGAGTGTAGAGTTTTCACTTAAAAGCTTTGTCTGATAAAGAATACATGAGATATTCATAATATCTCTTATAAAAAATGGTTATTTTCTCTAGTGGTTTCCCTGTGAGAATAAGTAATTCAATTTTCGGAACAAAATCAAATATTTAAACCTCAATATCTTTAGAACTCGATGCTGTAAACCTTTGATATTTCAAACTCAGATTATTTGATCTACCAGAATTCATAGTTTAAAATATCTAAGGTCTGCAACATTTGGTTCCAAAGATATAGTGATTAGAGAATCAGAGTTTGTGGCAAAGACTCAATTCCTTTGCGGATTTCTTGAAATAGAAGCAAGGAAGATTGTGCGAATTAAACACATTTTTTATCAGATAAAGGTTTGAAGAATACCGTTGTAAGTCGGGTTTGCGCTCTTTAAATAAAGGGTAATAAAGTATCAATTTACAATGGCAGTCCCTATGAAGTATCAATTTACAATAACAGCTAGTCCCTTTGAAGTATCAATTTACAATGACAGCTAGTCCCTTTGAAGTATCAATTTACAATGACAGTTGCTATTAAGTATCAATTTACAATGACAGCTAGTCCCTATAAAGTATCAATTTACAATGACAGTCCCTTTGAAGTATGAATTTACAATGACAGCTAGCCCCTTTGAAGTATCAATTTACAATGACAGTCCCTATGAAGTATCAATTTACAATGACAGCTAGTCCCTTTGAAGTATCAATTTACAATGACAGTCCCTATGAATTATCAATTTACAATGACAGCTAGTCCCTATGAAGTATCAATTTACAATGACAGTCCCTATGAAGTATCAATTTACAATGACAGCTAGTCCCTTTGACTTTTCCCTTATGTCCATTTGACAGCCCAAATTTTTATTTTGAATAATCTTTTTGTTTGTTTATCTTCTTGTGATTTTTACATTTTTTTTATTTTTTTTTATAGATGTTGATGGTTATTATATCGTTAGAACTGACGAGGGTCAACCCAGACCGAAATATTTTTTCAATAAATGTGGAACTAACATCTACTTTTTTACTCTACAGAGGTTTGGTCCATCACCATGACTGAATTTTAGAAGTATCAATTTACAATGACAGCTAGTCCCTGTGAAGTATCAATTTACAATGACAGTCCCTTTGAAGTATCAATTTACAATGACAGCTAGTCCCTATGAAGTATCAATTTACAATGACAGTCCCTTTGAAGTATCAATTTACAATGATAGTCCCTTGAAGCATCAATTTACAATGACAGTCCCTTTGAAGTATCAATTTACAATGACAGTCCCTATGAAGTATCAATTTACAATGACAGTCCCTTGAAGCATCAATTTACAATGACAGACATAAATAAAAATAGTTATAGACATGCAAATTTATTTATCAGCTTACAATTTAGTTTTTTTCACAAGAACTGCTTGTATACGGTATTATTTTAACTATTCACTTGTGATATGTTATTTTTGCGTAAATTATACTGTGTACAACATGTACAAAGATGTAAAATGTACATGTGTATTGTTTATGATATATATTGAAACATAAATACTGAATGTTCTGTTCGAGTTTTAATCTTATTTTTGATATACATTCTGAATCTTCAGTTGAATAAAATGTTTTCTTTTTCTCTGGAACAGTAGGGTTTGTTATGGAACCCTGAGATACTGAATGAAACACAGAGCTACATCAAGGAATCAGTGATATTTTTAATGGAACTATAAGCGTTCAAGTCAAAACCATAACGGAACACCAAGCTAGACTCTTCGGAACGCTAAGCTACTCCAAGGAAAACCAGTTTCTTCATGGAACCCTAAGATACTTGATAGTAATGTATGCAATTCCAAGGAACACTGTGTTTCTTCACTCAACCCTAAGATTTAAGATGGAACCCTGATGTGTATAATGGAACATTTGGAAACTTCATGGAACACTGGACTTTATTCTAAGAAACACTATGCTTCTCCATGGAACAGTGACTTACTCCGAGGAACTCAATGCTTCTCCATGGAGATATAGAATGGAACATTATCAACTTCTTACTTCAAGGAACACTGTGTTTCTATACGGAACCCTTAGATTTAAAATGGAACCCTGATGTACATTGTGGAACTCTTAGATATTTGATGGAACACTAGTCTGCTCAAGAAACACTGGGCTACTCCAAGGAACACTTTGCTTCTCCTTGGAACCCCTCACATAATTTACGGAACACTGATGGGCTGAGGGGATACTAACAGCTAATCTTCACATCATTAAAACACTGGCGCTCCGTGGAACATATTGATTTGTATTTCATTCAATATTAAGCTGTTCCAAAACACAGCTAGGAACAGGTCGTTTATACTAACAAGAAGTGTAACAGTAAGAATATATTAGGCTGCTCCAGTTTAGCTGCTCCTAGCTATCCGAGCATTGAGCAGCTCCTAAAAATGAATTTCTAGCCGGAGTTATTCCTAAATTCTCCCAATTGATCCAGGACAGCCTGGCTGTAAGATCGCTGGTGTTCCAGTGAATACTTCCCGGGGTTCGTAGTTCTCCTCTTAAACTTCGCTCTATATAATCCACAGGTTCAAGCTCACTCTGGAGGATCTCCCGGAGAAGAGAAATGTACGCGATCGCCAATCTCAGAGTATCAATCTTAGACAGACGTTTCTCATATGGGAATGTGGGTACATGTCGTCGTAGTTCCTCAAACGCAGAATTGATGCTTGTACAGTTTCCAACCCTCTTGGTTTCTCGTACAGGATGAACCCGGAGGGTGTGGAAGTATTCTCCCTCCTCCGTCTCCTGCTCCTCGGGAGCGTGGTAGTGAGGGAGGAGGGGGTAATGCACCCCACCCTCTCCCTCCTTCATGTTGTTGTTAGTGTAGTTAGCAATGTAGTACTGGGAGGGTACCCAGGAACCGGACATGTCGAGTGTTTCCTTCCTTTGTATTTACTGTTCATGTTCCTGACAACCATATTCCCCCATAGTTCCCCCCGGATACTCTAAACCAATCACAGCACACCACAGGTCCTCCGACCAATCACAGAGCAGGAGCAGGAGATTATCAACCAATCAGAAGAGAGGATCTCCGCCCCCCATCGGAGTATATCATTTGCAGAAATCTGCTCTTAACAGAATACTTTACAGGCTCTTTTTCTTTTCAAACTCATTTTTCATAATAAAAAACAATATTTTCAATAAACTCCATTTTTAAGAACTATAATTTCAAGAAGAAACAGCAATTGTCAATAAATCTACTCGAAGAAAATTTTAGATATATCTTCTTTTCTACAATAAATTATTTCATGGGTCAAAGAAATTGAATTTCTTTTACTCTTGGAAACTTTTCGTTTGCTGTTATTATGATATTCCGTTTTAACATTTTTTTTAAACCAATTCCAAGCAAATACTTCCTTTTTTCAGGCCCTTTTTTTACACATCCATTCTGAATTAGATTGAAAATTATTCATTATTTTAATCATTAATCATTATCAAATATTAAAGATTTATTGATGTTTAATAAGTGAAAGCTAATATATTAAATTGTTTTGCATAATTTCAAATAATGCTTATTCGCTCTATGAGTTATTTTTCAGTTTTTATTTTGATTGAATTTTTTTTAATTCTAAATTTCATCAGTTCAAAATTTATTCAAAGCAAAAATAAAATGGCCTGTAACTGTGTATGCTCTACAATAAAAAACTTATCTTTTTAAGTAAAAAAAGTGTCAAATAATCATTATATTTTTGCTGTCTTAATCTTAAAAGTTAATTATCTAAATTATCTATCTACCTTTCTATCTATCTATCTATCTATCTATCTATCTATCTATCTATCTATCTATCTATCTATCTATCTATCTATCTATCTATCTATCTATCTATCTGTCTGTCTGTCTGTCTGTCTATCTATCTATCTATAGATGAGCGTGTGTGCGTATGGTAGACGTGTATAAGAGTGCGTGAAGAATTTGAATAGTTTTCTAGTGGTTTAACTCACTTCACTCCAGTAGAACAGGGAGGGAATATATCTTGGTTTTAAACTTTAAACAAACTTTAAACAATGTTTGAACAAACTTTAGACAAGCTTTAGTCAAACTTTAGATAAACTTTAGACAAACTTTATACAAACTTTAGTCAAACTTTAGAAAAACTTCCTGGACATCCTGAGTCCTGTCTCAGGTGCTCCACTTTAAAAGATCTTTTTCCTCCCTGAGAAGGCTGATGATTTGGATGAGATCCTCTCAATCCTGTGCAAGGCTAAGTGCCTTGGCTATGCTCAACATTCACAGAGATGTCAAACTTGACATCTCTGAAATCAAGAACTTATACAAAGTAAAACATCCTTTAAAGTTTGAACATTTGGTTAAAAGGAAAAAATTCATCCATTTATTTTGGAATATAATAGCCATTTTTGGGAGTTTCAAAAACATTACTTTAAGCGAGGATATTTGTCATTTTTAGACAAAGTAGAAGGGTTTTTTGAGTACTCAAAAATTCCCTAAGAATGTCTCAATGTCTCAATGTCAATAAATAAACTCTTTTAAACAAAATATTAGAATTTTTATTTTTTATTCATCTTCATAATATCATGATGAGGCCGAGGGACAAGAAGCCTTGATTTTAAATAATGAATTTTTTCCTTAAGCTAAAGTACCATTCATTTATTTTTTATGTATATTGTATATGTTAACTGAAAAGTTTCAGACACTAAAATGTAACCCTTAAAAGCTTAAATACACTTGTTAAAAAGGTTAGTCTTTATAGCGTACATTGACAATGTAATAAAGAAAACCATATACCACCGTAAAAACAAACCAAGCTTTAAAAAAAAAAAATCCTGGTTACGGGCCTGCCCCCCCTGAGCCCCC